ACTTATTTTACCCGCTGTATGAAACCTGACTTGTGTCATAAAAAGAAGAAGATAAATGACAGGATTTAGGATTGATGTTTATTACAGTTGGCAGTAAAGCGATGCAACATTCATCTACACGAAGCAAAGAAAGTTATAAATACGCAGATATGAATAGCTGCAAAACGAGCTAGACTCGAAACTTAAAGTGTCCGTGTGGCTGCACGTGGGGAAGCCTTTCACTCGAATGAAAYGGTAAATAAAGGTAGAAAATCTGACTGAGCTTTTATCAAATATTCAAAATGAAAGTTAAAAACATCAGAAGAACACTGGATGTTGGTTTTGGGACAGAAGCTTAGCACTGCAGTCGTGTTGTTTCTTTTTCCTGTTGAGCTACAGTACTGAGCAGAGGAGGTGCATGGCTTTTGTATTCAAAGAACTGGTTTTTACAGACAGAGGTGTGTTTGTGTGCGAGGACGTCTTTATGCATCAGAGAACAGGAGAAGAATCAGAATCCAGCTGTTAACAGGTTGAAAACAGAAAGTGATAACACGGTCTCCCTGCACCAGGTGGTTCCGGGGTCAGTACCGGCGGGGTGGCGTGCTCCCTTAGTRAAGTCCTGTAAAGGTGGGCTCTGAGCGTCCCACCCGCTGTTCAGACATGTTGGAGTCTGATGGCCGTGTTAAAGGAGGGGAGCTCGGCAGGAGGCAGGGGTTGGACTTCAGGCAGATACAGGGATGTTGATGATGAGGATCCGTGGTTGATAATGGTGAAGAAGGGGCGCTCATGCAGGTAGGGCCAGAGGTGAGGAGGGTCACACTTTGGCCCCTGGTCTGGCCGTGCTTTAGGTAGGACAGAGAACTGAAGTGAAAGAAAACAAATCATCTCAATATGTATTTATGAAATCTTTTGAATTTATTTAATTTTTAGAGCAGTTCAAGTTAAAACCAATACACTGATCTTTAAGTACAGTATATATTCTGTATATATCATGTACTCTATGTTATTCTCACATTACTAAACTCCATCTTATATTAAAGATCATATTGTTCCATATTTTCCTAACAGAGGACAAAAACTGAAGTATTTTGCTGCAGAGGAGCAGCTGGTTTTTACCCATAATCAGTGGTGGGCACAGCTCCCCTAAAGCACTAAAGCACTACACTGCAAAAAACTGTCCACTTAACCAAGTTTTAAAACCTTATATCAGCCAAAAAGTCTTTTTGATCTTGTTTTGAGACTGATTTACTAAACAAGAACTG